TGAGTGAACTATCAGGATGTTATGTTCTTTTGAGTGAACTATCAGGATATTACGTTCTTTTAGGAGTTTGTTTTTTCCTGTGTGGTTCAGCGTGGCTGTGCATGCCCTGTTATGCCCTGGGCCATGGGTGACCGCCACACCTACACAAGGAGTTATATGACAACAGAAATTAGAGGGGTGGAGGGAACACCAGGCTGCCAGGTTTTCACCTAAACTTAACAGATTAGGCCGAGTGCAATATGGACAGAGGGTAGCAACATGGAAAGGAAGTCTTCAAACACAGCAGTTAAACACAGAGGACTGGCAACTTGCTTAAAACAAACAAACAAACAGGGATAAAGGCATTGGAATTAACCGTCATTTTCTTGCAGGATACTCACCAACATACCAGAGGATCCAGCACGAAATATTGTAATAGGAACTTATCAGTTTTCCAGACCTAGAACGAGAGAAAGGCGGAGGTTGGCATTCATGTTTAATGAACGTCTAAAAGGAAGTGCACCCAAAACCCACTTATTTATTGCAAAGTGCCAACATGACAATTTAACCTGAATAATGAGGTTTGACTACCTAAAATAATGATAAACAAGGCAGAGTCCAGATAATTGTTCTAAGAAAACCGTGATAAATGCACTTTTATGCCCCTTCGGTGTTTTTTTCTCTGCTTTTGAAATATTACGCTTAGCAACAATAAGAAAGAAAATGATTTGTAATATCATTTCTCTTTCCCCCCTCCCTCCCTATCTCCCTCTCTCTCCTTCCCTCCCTCCCTCTCTCCCCCCCCTGTGGGAGATACGCGATGAAGCTGGGCTCGGGTGATGGCACACGTGCCCAAGAGAGAGAGCTCTGAGTGCCACCCCTGGCATGCGTGCCTTTGGTCTAGGGTCTCCTGCTTGAGCAGGGGGTTGGACTAGAAGACCTCCAAGACCCCTTTCCAACTCTGTGATTCTGTTATCGCAGCTCTCCACCTTACATTTCCGTGTAGATCATGCCAGCGAGTGACAGGTTGAGAAATCCCCAGGCCAAGAGGACTTTCCTTGCCTCCGTTTCCTTCCTCATCCTGATGGTCCTGTCAATGAGGGACTCGGGGGGATTTGGGTCCCCCTGCATTGTCTAGAAAGAGCAAGAAGAGAATGTTGATTTATTTATTTTTTCATTCCTTCCATTCATATATGTATAATCTTTATTGTCATTGTGCTTCAATACAACGGAATTGGTTTTAACCTCACTGGTGCAGAATTATAGCAGAAACGAAAAAAGGAAAAGGAAACTAGCGTGTGCATGGAGTGATTGTGGTTGTATTTAAAAGTCTGACAGCCCAAGGATAGAAACGATCTTTAAACCTCTTTGTTCGGCTGGCTATGCTTTGATGTCTTCTGCCCAATGGTAGAAGAGCGAAGAGACACTGACCAGGGTGTGAATTATCTCTGAGTCTCTTCCTTGCTCTGCTAGAGCAGCGAGGCCTGGCGATGTCACCCAGTGGGGTCAGAGGGCAACCAATGGTTTCTTCTGCCGAATCGATCCCTCTCTGTAGGGCCTTCCTGTCCGCAGCTGTTAAACCAGCCTACCACACTGCAACGCAATATGTGAGGACACTTTCTATGGTGGATATGCCCTCCCTTTGAGTACAGCTAGTCCTCGGCTTACAACACTTCATTTAGTGACCGTTCCAAGTTACAACAGCACCCCAAAAGAAGGGACTTAGGACCGTTTTCACACGTACAACCCGTTGCAACCGCCCCATGATCATACAATCAAAATTCAGATGCTTGGTAACTGACTCATATCTCTGACGATTGTAGTGTCCCTGGGGTTTATGTGATCCCCTTTTGCGACCTTCTGACAAGCAAAGCATCACGCGGGGGGGGGGGACATGTTCTGTATTTACTCTTAGTTCAAAGTTTCAACAGCACTGAAAAGGCGACTTACGACCCTTTTTCACACTTACGACCATTGCCATATCCTTATGGTGATGTGATGCACATTTGGACGCTTGGCATGTGACTCATACTTATGACGGTTGCAGCGTCCCCGGGGGGGGTGTGTGTCGCGTGATCCCCTTTTTGCGCCCTTCTGACGAGCAAAGTCAACGGGGAAACCAGATTCGCTTAACAACCGTCACTCACTTAACAACCGCAGCGATTCACCTAACCTCCATGTGCAATAGGCAATATAAATGTAATAAAATAAATAAATAAATAATGAACTGCCAAGAATGGTCGCAAAATGAAGCAAACTCACTTTTCTCACTTAACAACATCAATTTCGGGCTCTATTGGGATGATAAGTTGAGGACTATCTGCGTTTGCGAGCGTTTCACCCAAGTTGGGATCAACAGCGCCACCTTGAGGCACCGCAGGGAAAAAATCAATGAAATGAATGAATGAATGTTACCTGATTTAACGGGGAGGTGTCCCTCCCCCCCGCAGGCACAGCCCCACAAAACCTAACCACGATTGTGCCTACCCCACATTCACACGTTGCGTGCGCGAAGATACCGGATCTGACCCAGGCACGCTCCCGCTGCGAAGACAAAAGCGGCGCGCTTAGATGACGCAAGGCAGAATCGGGACGGCGCCTTTAAGCGCGGCGTGGGGAACGGTCCGTGGCGCGAAGGTTTCTGGGAGTCGTGGTCCTATTCCTCTCGTGGGCGCCATGTTGGGAGGCGGGGCCTCACGTGGATTAGCTTCTTTAACCTCGCGATGCCGGTTGGAAAGGGCTGCGGGCCAAAGACCCCCTCCCGACGTCAACGCGGTACGGAAAGCGCATGCGCTTTCCCTATAACGGGGCGAGAAAAATGCAATCAACCGACACCCCCCTCCCCACGCCAAAAAAAAATTATCCCGCACCCTTCCTCTCGCTTACCAGCACGGATTCGCTGCCTTTGCCCGAACTGCGCATGCGCAGCGGGGTTTTTCTCTCCCCCTCCCTTATGGGCAAGCGAGGATCGAGGACGCTGCGCGCGAAGGCGGGCTTTGTTGCCGAGGCAACGGGCGCGGAAGAGGGGATTGGCGGGCGCCCGCGTGATCAGCGCCGATTGGCCGAGCCGCTCTTTGACGTTTAGGCGGGAGAATTTAAAAAGCTTGCTGGGTTTGAGGCGATTTCTCTGATTTCCTCAAAATGTTTTATGGGGCGCTGAGTTTGGGATCCTGGCTGGATTCATGGAGAGGGAGAGATCCAAGGGGGATCCACCCTTGTGATAGATCTTCAAGGAGTAGAATACAAGCACAAAGGAAATAAGCCATGGCTTCTCTAACCACCATAGAATTCACACAATATCTGAAGCCATCAACCCAGTTGAGGCTTGTCTAACCATGATAGTGTTCACACAGTTCTAAAACGTGGTTTACAACAAGCTGTGTTCTTGGGATCTTAACCCTGGCTTCTTTCATGATAGCATTCAGGCCGTATTGAAAGCCACTGATCCATTCATGTTTACAGTCACAAGTCCACACCTAAACCCTAGCTTGTCTAGCCATGATAACATTCACCGTGCCGGAAGCCATCATGCCAATGATGGTTTAACTACAAGTTGGTTCACTCCGGATCTAAACCATGCCTTGTCTAACCATAATAGTGTTCCCACAATGTCTGAAGCCATCAATCCCAATGATGGTTTAACCACAAGCTGCTTTACTGACCTAAACTATGCCAGTCTAACCATAAGTGTTCACACACACAGTCTAAAGCATCACCCAATCATAGGTTAATCTACAAGCTGAGTTCACCCAAGACCTAAATCATGGCTTGTCTATCCATGATAACATTCACACTGCACAGAGCCATCATGCCAATGGTGGTTTAACTACAAGTTGGTTCATTCCGGATCTAAACCACGCGTTGTCTAACCATAATAGTGTTCCCACAATGTCTGAAGCCATCAATCCCAATGATGGTTTAACCACAAGCTGGTTTACTGACCTAAGCTATGCCAGCCTAACCATAACAGTGTTCACACACACAGTCTAAAGCAGTGTTTCTCAACCTTGGCAACTTGAAGATGTCTGGACTTCAACTCCCAGAATTCCCCAGCCAGCGAATTCGCTGGCTGGGGAATTCTGGGAGT